AGTTTGGTCTCTGCAGCAGCAGGCTTCTGGACAATCTGGGACTCAACACAAGTGAAGGGCTGGTCCGCTGCTGGAAAAGGCCTGGCTAGGAGTGTCGTACCCTCCAGACGATCCAGCGGTGCTCTCACCAGGGAGCTTTGTTCTCACCATGAAGACACCAGGCCTTCTGCTTCCTGAGCATCCGAAGCATTGTCGTGAGCCAGTGCGCTGCAAAATGGGGAAAAAGAAAAAGACAGCGGCTACTTAACTGTCTAAGGTCAATTGTCTTATTTCACTATGGCTGAGAGAGAGAATGGAAGCATGCTAGGCTATGTCCTTGGGAAATTAGCAAAGCTTTCAGAGATGGAAAAGCATTCCTAACAGCAACCACTTGTGTCTAGATTTGATCAGGTTTAAAAAAAAAAAGTTTTGAGCAAATAGGTTTCAAATTATGCAAATGATGAGTGGAATAAAGCTCGAGTCCTTCCAGAACCTCAGTTCAAAGTGACTTTTAGTTATGCAGGCCGAGGTTACCTGATACGTGCACTCATCAAACCGTGACAGGATCATAGCAATCGTAATATACATCTGACGACCATGCTGACCCTGAGTTTGCAGGGTTCCTAACACAATGGGACCAGCCTTGGTTGGATGTTTTTGCATACTGTAATAAAAAGAAATATTTAATAATCGGTGTTCTCTTTGACTGATTGCATGGACAAAGCTATGAATTACTAGAGTAGGCTTTCTCTAACCATGTACAGCCAGAGAAGAATTTCTTTTTTCTGAAGACATTCTTTTTTTCCTGAGGCTGGCTTTGACAAACCCCATTTTTAAACCATGACAAATTCTGATTTTGTAAAACTCTCCTCAAACTGGGGGTATACATACCCCTGGGCATATATAGAAAGCTTTTACAAGGTCCAGCTCTTCCTGTGGACACTCTTATTTTACACATTAGAAACATTGAATAATAGCATTCATAGCAAGTGCTATACTTGCATGACCATAATAGTATACCAGTAATTATGCTCGTGCTGTGATACCAGATAATTTCCCCATTCAGACAAGCCTTCACACAGGACTTAATCAGATTTAAAACTCCATAACCCAAGAACACCAAAACATAGCTTTCTTATGGTGATGGCTCTAAATCAGAGAAATCTTGTCATCTGTCAATATATTTTATATGTCCATCCAGTTTAGGTTAGTCTACATCTATACAGAGTCAAGACAGCCAACTCAATCTTCCTCTATGTTCTGAGAGACTTGTCCACATTTGGACAGCTATTTGAAGTCTCACAATAATTCATATCCTTTAATTTACATTTGGAACTATTATACCTTGTCTTTCTGAGCCAAAAAAGCATCTTGTCAGCTGAACTAGCTCAGTCCATTTAGCTGAACACAAATCCCTGCACCTTACCAGCCACATAAGACACAATTTAACTCCATTGACATAATCTGAGGAGGGTGAAGAAATTTAGTCAAGAAAAACTAATACAACTAAAGTGGAGCTTTTTTGGCTTATGCAGGCAGGGCTGTAGTTAGAAGGAACAGCGAGCTAACTTAACACTTTGGCTATACACAAATGTGCACTGGTTTTAGTTTAGCTAAAGCAATAACATCTTTTTAAACAACCTTTAGCATCAATTTAAATTTGAAGTTATATCTTAAACTAAACAAGTGAGATGTTGAATGTAGATAAGCCCCAAGGCAGAAAATTATCCAGTAACAGTGAATTGGTTGGTTGTAGTTTAATTATGGTAGAAAATACCTTGGAGTCAGGGCTCTGAACCACTGCTTATATTATTGTTCTTTCATTGCTTTGTTTGTTACAAAAACAAATCTCATTGTACAATAATATATTACATATTTTATGGTCTTATATATTTACATGTAGAACCCACTAATTTTCTTAACACTGAGCATAGAGTTGAACAACCTGTTCAAAATGAAGCCGCAAAATTGTGTCTTTATTAGGTCTGTACTTAAATAACAGTATCTATTGAAAAAGCTACAGTCAAGATGTAGCACAGTGTTTTAATACTGTGTAGTTTTGGAAAACCTGGGGAAATAGTGTATTATATTTAAACAATGGTAACTTGGTTATCAAGCACCCTGAGTGTAAATCTTCTTAGACATTATATTCTTTCCTGTTTTTCCCCAATTTTTCTTTTCTCATTCTGTCCTCCCTTTGTTCAGCTGCCTCAAACTCTATCTAATTTCCTTCCTCCTTTCTTATTTTTTCTTTTTCCTGCCCTCTTCTCATGCTCTTTGCATCCTCTGTTGGTCTTCACCTATTTCATCTCTGTGTGACTTAGCTCATTCCACATAAGGTTCACATCATCATCCTTCTACTTTAACACACTTTCTGAGGGCTGCCCACTTCAGAAGAGATGTACTGTCTCCAGCATCTCCACCTCCCAACCAGGGAACCTTTGAAGGGTTGAGAGATCCACACCATACAGTGACAATACTAGGCAGTCTTTTCACTGTCTCTGCTGCACAGATTCATAACTTCCAGAATGAGTAGGCCATATATTCTAAGCCACATTGGCTGCTTCTTTCTCTGGCTTAGGTAGACTCAAGTTAGGTACTGGGTGTGTTGTTCTATGCCAGATTGCCATTAGGTATACTTTGTGATTTTTCTAGACCTGTGGTTGGCAATGTTTTTCAGCAGTGGACCAGAATGACCAAGCTCGGGTTGAAGGCAGGCTGGTGCTCGTACCCAGCCAGCACTGCTGCCACTTGTCCCCACTGCCCAACAATGGTGCAGCATAGCTGAAGTGTCAGGCTGCAGCACAATACAGCATTGCATGGGCAAAGCCCCTCACCACAGAATCCCATTGAAGCCTCCCACTGATGAATATTGCCGAAGCCCCCACTCCATGATCTGGATCCAATGGCCCTGTGGGCCAGATCTGGTCCATGGACCAGAGGTTGCTGACCTTTTTATTAGACAGAGAAAATACAATATATCTAATCTGGATAGAAGTAAGTAATTGATAAGATGCCACAGGGGAAATTATCAGTTAAGATAAAAAGATGGGTTTTAGTGTGAAACTTGTCAAGTGGGTAAGGAACTGCCTGAAAGAGAGGTGAAAATGGGACCCCTGAGTATTAGAGTAATAGAAATGGGATAAAATAAAGGAAGTTTGCCTTTATCTAGGAGCCCCTCTACATGTTTACATTTATGCTGCAATTAAAGTGTTAATTGTGATATAAATGATAAGGGTGCATATTAAAATGGCAAATGAGCCATAAAAATATTTCACATATATTTAGAACATTTTCATGGCTGGTTTGCATGGTGCCTTAAATTGAATGTGTGGCATGTCCAGGGCTGCCCCAGGGCCAGGGCAAGCAATCAGTTGATTGTACAGTCCTGGCTTTGAGGTCTTGAACTGGCCCATGTGGTCCTGGGGCCAGGGCCAACAACCAGCTGATGGTCAACCCTGGCCCAGGACTACACTGGCTCACACCAGGCTGCAGGCATCTGGCTTTCAACTAGCTGGTGCAGGGCAAGACCAGGATCATGATCCCAGTCTCCCCCTGCACCAGCAAGCAGAGGAGGCACAGTTGGCATCTGACCCCTGATCCTTAAATTGCACCTCCTGCCATGTACAAGTGGCACTGCAGGAGGTGCAACTGTTGCAATCAAGTATCAGGTCCTATGGAGCCTTTAAATCAGGGGTGTCCAACCTTTTTGAATGTGGGGCTGGATCACAAACTTTTTATCACCCAGAGGGCCAGCGAGCCATATTCAAAGACATCACAGGAAGTGGTATCATATCAGGAAGTGATGTCACGTGACCTTTGACACCAGTGAAGTTGCAGGGGTTGACATGGTGCTAGTTGACATGGCATGCATGCCCGGGTTGACATGGTGCTGCAGGAGCTGCTGGGCTACAACCGGGTTGACCTGGTGCTAGAGAAGCCATGGGGCCAGGCCGGGGCTAACCTGGGGCCCACCTGGCCTGCCGGTGCCATGCCCAGGTTGACATGGTGCTGCAGGACCCGCCTGGGCAGATCTGGGTCGGCACCAGCCAGGAAAAGCATCATGCAGCTGAAGCCGGCTTCCCATGTGCTGCTGGGGATGGGAGGAGGCCGGCCAGGTCTGCACCGACCAGCAGAAGTGGCAGTGGAGCTGTGTGCCGCTTGGGACTGACTCGTCCCGTCCTGAGTGGCACACGGCTCTGCCGTCGCTTCTGCTGCCCAGTGCAGACCTGGCCAGGCTCCTCCCATCCCCAGCAGCCCACGGGAAGCGGACCCCTTGGGGCCTCGCACACGGGCGGCTGGGCCCAGAGAGCTGCAGCGCCCGGGGGGAGACTGGCCGGGGGAGCAGGCACCACCTTGCTGTGGGGCAGGGCAGCGGGGCTGGCTTGAAGTGGGCAGGTGAGGAGGCAGGCGCGGGCCAGCAGTAGCAGCGGCCACTGCTTGGCCTCCCACGTGGGGCCGCTCCCCTGGGTCCCACGGGAGTAAGCAACTCCCCTCCCCTTGCTGCCAGCTGGGACCCATGGGCTGGCCCTGCCTGCTTCGCTGTGGCCCCGCTGCCGCAGCTCCACACTCCACGCCACCTCTGCGGCTCCGCATCACCGGCTCTGCACTCCCTGGCGGCAGCTCCGCACTCCGCACCGCCGCCACCGCAGGTCAGATAAAATGGCTTGGCGGGCCCCATGGCGGCCTGCGGGCTGTATGTTGGACAAGCCTGCTTTAAATGAACATGTGCCAGGGTCCTAGGATACTGCACTGATGGTATAAAAATAAAATAATCCCTCTGCACATGAGTATGTAACTATGAATTGTGCTAAAGAGACTGGATGCAAAATAATTAGGAAGATGTGAGTAAAGTGTTGCACTTCTGTAGCCCGGGTACACCCGGGGGGTATGCCCTGTCCTCCGATGACAGTGGTGGTGGTCAGGCAAGGTGCTGAGGAAGGGGTCAGCTACTAGAGCAGCTTCCTCCCCTCTCTATAGAGCTAGGTCAAAACCAAATACTTATGTACAATTTATTACAAAAATAAATACAGATGCTTAATGTAAAACGCAGAATATTTACAAGGCTTAACAAATAATACTATATATAATATTCCACAATTCACATATAATACCAAATATGAACCAAATAACTTACAACCTGTACAACACAATTAATACATAGGGATATTAACCTATATAACCCAAGTAACTTAACCATAATATGTCTTTAAACCTTCACAAATAACAATACCAATATACACACTGAGACATTACAACACATAAACCATATAAACCCCCTTAAAGAATACCCCTAGCTATATAGCCCTTAACACGACAACCTCAAAATAGGGAGTGCACTCAGCACTTCCCCAAGGGGTTTCCCTGCGGCCCCTCCCCTTTAGGGCCCTGGGATGTGGACACGCCCCTCCCACAGTGGACGATGGAGACGGCAGACCCTCCTCACCTGCGTCAGCCTCCCCTGTGGGGCCCGCTTCCCCAGTAACTCACGCTTCTTCTCTGGAGAAGTCAGGGCTTGTCCCCTGGTGGCCAGTCCTGCAAAAGCCTCTCCCTAGTGGCACCTTCGGCTCTTCTCGATGGCCTGGTGCCCTGCACTGGGCACCCAGGGCTGTCTGTCTCTCACGGGAGCCAAGCCCTTGCAGGCTCTGACTCCCCAGTCTCACACATGGGGTTTTCCCCTTTTCCGGGCCCTGCTGTGGGCACTGGGGCTCTTTTAGTTACAAGTGGAGCTGCACTGCGGGGCTCCAGTCACTCGGCTTAGGACTGGGGCTAACATGAGCAGCCGCGAGCTGCTTCCAAGGCAGTTCTCCGTGCGCTGACCTGCGCACTGGGTGAGGCCCGAGCAGCCTCAAGCTGCTCCCAGGGCCAGCTCTCCATCTGCTGATCTGCATACCGACTACTCAGCCGCTTGCTGGGTTTGCAGGCTCAAGCTGCCTCAAACAGCTTCTAGAGCCTGATCCCCACGCACCGATTTGCACATCACCAAAGCTCAAGCAGGGTCCTGAGGATGGCCGTCTCTGGAGCACCTCTCTCCTCGCTGTCCCTCATCATTTCTCTCCCAGCCTGCTGAGCACGCTCCCCTTTTATACTCTTCAGGGGTTCCACCCCCGAAGTTCTCCGGACCTGGCTGGGGCCGTTCCGATTTCGGGCCCGCTGCTTCTTGCCCCCGCCCTTCAGAAAAGGGTGGGGCATTGCTTCCCTTGTGCTGCCTCCAGATTGGTGGGTGGGCTATACCAATCAAACAGCAGACCCTCAATCCTGGGACTCAACCCAAGCTCCGAAAAGGTAAGCCTGCTACACTTCTACAGAGTGCAGCTCTTTTAGTTTCTGAAACCTCAGAAAAGTATCAACGCCAGCAAAAAAATAGAACAGTGCCCTAGAGCAGCGTTTTTCAATACCTAGAGGAGTCACAAAAAGTAACAGGATGGTCACAATTTGCTGAACATTTTATTACAGCTGACAGTACAGCATACATTGTCTCCCCATTCCCTGTACACACTTAGACTCCAATGTCAAATATAACCTGTCAGTCTCTTGAACCATACATATAAATAAATTATATATCCTTATCGTTGTCGATATTGATGATTTTTACCCTTACTTCCAAAGTAAATTTAAAAGGTCAGGGTTTTAAAAAAATCAAATAATTGCTTGCCAGGCTGAAATGAGAAACATTAATATTGCAGTAAATTAAACTTCACATTGCTACTGTTCTTGAAGCTGCCATAAATACTATACTTTAGCATAAAGGAGAATGAAACTGGTTTCCAAAAAAAGTGTTTATTTTTCATAGATGCCATTTGCTGTTTGTAAGTTATGTTCTCATAAGGGAGCTGTACAGCATGATTTAATAATCACAGGGTAGAACAGTCAACTGTAAATGAGTAGAACTAGAATGATGAAAAAATTACAAGGAAAGACCCCAATCCAGCAAAGCACTAATCATGTACATAACTTTAAGCAGGTGGATAGTCCCATTGTAATCAAAGGGTCTTACTTAAGTGCTTAAAGTTATGGACATATTAAAGTGCTTGCCTGGATCAAAGCCCAAATCCTGAGCCATGTTTTCAGCTGCATACAGTCCAGATGCAGTGGAAGCCAAAGATTTCAAATGAGCTAGCAGGGGATTTCCTTACTAAGGGCAGAGTAAGAGTTGAAACTGCTGGCTACTATATAGGAGAACCAAGCTCTAGGAAGTTTCATAGTGTCTCCCATGCCAGCCAATTTGCTAACTAATGATCAACCCAGGAACTTCATTGCTGTTCCTGGTACATGAAGCAGAAAGAGCACCTCTTCAGTATCCAGATCTTTGGCTGGCATACTGTTAGCAGTCAGAAATATAATCTGTTTCTTTGTAAACCAAGTTGTGTTGACGTCGAGAACATTAAAGGCAAACATGAAATCCCAGAGGGTTTAGCGGCCATTTTTTAAAGTAATAAACACAATTTAAATCAATGACTGGCTGTTATACAGGCACCTCCTTTAAGTCCAGCCTTTCAACCTCCATTTTCTTTACTCACACCAAATCCGTGTGTGTGTGTGTGTGTGTGTGTGCGCGTGCAAATAGGGGAAATGCACATGGATGTTTGTATAGTATTCTGATAGTTTACACACATATTGTTCAGGTAAACATAGTGCAAGGGAAATGAAAATTTACCCCTTTATTAAGCCATCTTTTATGTAATAAGCACAGAAAGAACTGTGGGCTTTTAAGACTGTGTTATTCTGATTCGTTTCTCATCCCTTACTTCTCTTTCAGGAAATCTTACACAAGTTTCTTTTTCTTGTTTTTTGTTGCTTTCTGATAACTCTTTATTTTCAGAATCCGCTTCTCTTTCCAAGCCTATCTCTGGGATCTATTTCATGACTACCAACACCATCTCCACATCATCTCTGTACAGTGACTCCTAAATCCACCTTTGTGCAGTTCCCTATTTCTGCCTCTGAACATAGGATCACTGAATCCAGCACCCTATAATTGCAGGCAATGGTGTAATAGACTTTTATTATAAAAGGTTTCAGAAAATGATCCTCTTACCTGCCTTCCACACACCACAAAGTCCCCTTTAGTCCTCATCCCAAACTTTCGATCTTTAATATAGACAAAACCTACAGCCTAGCAAGTGCTACAGGAAGAGAATAAGAGAGACAAAGAGCACCAAGACCTTCAGTTCCCAAAATTGCATGGAATCTGTTAGGAAAAGTGTGCCCAGAAAATCCTAGGAAATGGATTATGTCTTTTTGCTACAGAGGAAGGAAGGAATATCTTAACAGCCCTTGCCAATTTGTTCTGGGGATAAATTCCTTCTTGGCCCCAAATCTGTTGATTGTTTTAACCCAGAGACACCCAATATACAGTATGTTTCACTTACCAGTTTGTCCTATTCTGTTATTAAAAACCCCAAACATTTATTTACCCCCTTCTAATCCCTTACCCCTTCCTTCTTAATTACTGCTGATAATTTTATCATGCTTCCAATCACCCAGGTTTATAACCTGTGTCATGTTTGACTCCTTTTCTCCCACCACATATAAACTATTGCTTACTGCTATTGGTTCCTATTTTATAACACCTGATCTTTCCTCAAATGCCTACTACCAAAGCCCCAGTCCAAGGCTTGGTCATTGTATATGTTTCAATCGCTGTTAATGTTATAATTCTATAGGACATCCTCCTTCCCTTTCTCCTTTCTGATTCTTTCTTAGATTCAGCTGCTATTTCGCTTTCTTGCCCACCAGTCAGGCTGTATCAATTTCCTATTTTAATTCTTTAACTGGTCCCTTCTTTATCATGTTCAGTCTTCTGTCTTCACCTTCAGGGCTGTGTGCAATTCTGTTCCTGCCTTAATCAATGCTTATGTCTTTGCTCCCACACACTGTGGTCCACCCATACCTTCCCCTAATCACTTCCTTCCTTACCTCCTCACACTCTTCTCTAAGTGCTTTCATTTATGCCGCCCTTTATTTATGTCTGGGACAACTTGTAAACAAAATCTGCCAATGCCTCATTCAAATCTCTCCAGAAAAATTTATTTCTCCCACAAAGTCTATCCAATTGAAATTCTTCCACTAAAATAGGCATCAGTCCTTTATAATAAAAATGTTCCTGTTTCATAACCCCAAAAAACCCACAAAAAACCCCTAAGATGAAACTAGCTGTGGAATTGGCTTTTGCCAGTTGCTTTCTGCCAAAATGATGTGCTGGCTCTCTCAGTATTAGAATGGACTGTCTTCCATATATTTGCCATGTTCTTTTCTGTCCTCAGATGCTGAGCCTCCTCAGAAGGGCTTTTGGGCCTGATTCTGATTTCTCATTGCTTGTAAAAGGCTACAACCTCACTGATGTCAACAGAGCTAAACAGGTATAAAGCTGGCTGGCTGAGAGATAATGGCTACTGCCTGGCACTAGAGAAATAATAATTGTATTCATGAATGAGAATTAGCATATTAATATTCTCTCTCCCCCTTTTAAATAATTAGCTCCTTTGAAGAAACCTCTCTTCTAGCTCCATCTCCATAATTCTGCGCCTTGCCATAAAGAACATGTAAATTAAGTGCCCACACTGGTTACCAAACAATGGGATTCACTATTTTTTGGGACTTTGGAACCTTGAGAAAAGATCTTCACATCTGCCAAGAGCAGTCAACTGTCAACCCATAACTGGCATCCTCAACGGGTATGAAACCGTCCAATTGTTGGCACTGCAGGCCTTCCTCTGTGTCCATACAATAGGTTCCCTATCAGAACTGGATCCTCGGAGCACTGCTACATGTTTATTATTGGGTAGAATGAATGAACCACCATATAAGACACACTGGTTTCATTACATAAGAATAAAAAAGGGAAAATATTCCTCCTGGGTCATTTTTTGCTTTACTGGGAATTAAGTCAATGCCAGAATTCCCACTGACTTTGGTGGAAACAGGAGAAGGTTCTCCATACATAGCTTCAAGCCAGCAAAGGCCATGCATAAGTATGTGAGAAAGCACAATGGCTTTATCTGCTAGCGTTTCCCCAGTGTAGCTGGGGCAGCCATACCCTTTACAGCTGTCAGTTTGTTTTGTAATATGAATGGCAAAATATTGGTGACAAAATATTGGCATAGGGTCAGTTGCAAGTTGGATCCTCATAGATTACTTCCAAGTAAAATAATTGAACAGCTTCTCTTGGCTAAGCTAAAATAAGCAAATATCATACATTCTTTTCTGTATTATCATCTTCAGAATATAGTTTCTAGTACTTATCTGAAATGTGTAACCAGCAGCAATGGTATGAACAAGAGCAAATTTATTTCTGCACTTGATTATAAGTTTGAAACATTTCAGAATAAGAATTACCATGACAAAAGGAAGCATTCTGTCCTTGAAGCGAATATGGAGAAGCACAAATTGTTCAGTCAGACTTTGAAAGAAAACAGAGCTATCAAGGCCAGAACTGACCCCTTTAAAAAGAGAAATGAGAAAGGATTCAAAATACCCTGGTGATGAGCACTAAAGAAATCACAATTAATATAAATGATTAAATTAATTAAAGAGACAGAAAAGTTTGAGGACTTCTTTTAAAGTCAGGGTCTGATACACGGGGAAGCGTAAGAATAAAATTCTCCAGGGCCTTGCTTGGAGTCCAGAATCAGCGTGACTCCTTCCCTTGAAGAAAGTGAAAACTAGAGGAGGCTGAGTATGTACAGCTTTATTATCCTTTTCATTGTGGATCAAAGAAATAGAATCCTCAGGGCTGCCAGCTCTTTGATTTTGTACAGAGGATCTGGAGTACAGATTTTTCCGGACTGCATACTAACCATATTTGATTTATTAATGTTGGATATGCACTACTTTCCTAAACCTCTGCATATATAAAAAATTTCTGGTAGGATCTGTGTCTTTTTACTGGTTTGTTTGTGGCTTTTTTTAATAGATTCAATATGAGCAAACTTCTCTATAATCATTTATAAAAGCTGTACATATTCTAATTGAAAGGAGGTTTGTTTCCATTTGTAGTCTTTCTTCACACCTGAACCTATTTCTTTCATTCCTAACCTCATCACATTCATAGGCACCAGATGTATTGTGCATTAAAAACTACATAAAGTATATAGTTCACTTACATTTTCAGGCATAGGCTGCCATAATTTCTGTACTGTTTTATGAAACTTTTGTATAGAAAATCATTATGTCCAAATATAAATGCATCATGGTATTTTTCATAGATAACTGCACTGACTGCATGCATCTGTAGATGAACTGTTATGTGTAGATTTTAATATAAAGGTCACTAACATCTTACTCCAAATGTCTGTGCAAAATAGCAAACGAGCTTTCAGGTGTTTTCACTGATACAGAAGTGTCTGATTGCTAAAATTGGAATGACAGAAATGTGTAATTAAAGCTGTACAAAATGTGAAAAAGAGCAGTAGTTTATACTTTAAGAAGACTGCAAGAGCAAATATCAGAATGGTGAGAACTGCCGTATAAGGCCACTTGTTGTTACTAAAAACCTTGCATAAATCTCACTGTCAGACAGATTAATGCTGCTGCTTGGAGGTCTTTATGAGAGAGCTGGTAAGCATGGAAATAGTTTCACAAGCCAAAATGCAAAGGTACACAAAAGAAGGTGGAGTTTTTACTAGCTGCTTTCCAGCTGGCATTTATATATTGATTTAGAAGCAAGAAACGTTCCTATAAAATATACTTTAAGGACACAAAACCCAAGGAGAAAGGTATTGACTTAAATAAGGTATATTAGTAATCTGCCCCTGAAGGCATAATCCCAGGTGATTTTTCTGTGTAAGCCTCTAGTGGAAAATATCTTTGAGTGCCCCAAGAATGTATTAGAACTATGTTCTTTAAAGTATTCTGCTGTATATAAACTATTAATGCTATGGGTGGGGAAGGAATCTAAAATGTCAAGGGTTTTAGGTGGCCAGGCAAACTACTTTCAACTCTTGTTTGTCCATGAATGAATAAGAAACGTTGGTTGCCTTGTTTATTTCTTGGAGATAAATATATACATCTTGAGTTGACCTGGGGAATATTTCTCATGTAACTGATAAAATCAAATTCAGCACTGGTGGAAGTGAATGGAAGCTGCTCCTATTTATGCCTGTGAAAAGAACAATGATCTGATTGGCATCACCAAGACCTGTGGGGACAGCTGTTAGACTAGACTGTTAACATTGAGGGTTACACTCTGTTTTAGAAGGACGGGGTTGGGAGAAAAGGTTGTGGTGTTGCCTTGTATGTCAAAAACACATACACTTGTTCTCTGGTTCAGGAAGAAGGTGGCAAAGCAGAATGCATTTGGGTGAAGATGAAAGATGAAAGACACACCACCAATATAATGCTGGAGATTTATTATAGGCCACCTAATCAAGAAGATGAGGTAGATGAGGCACTCTTCAAGCAGGTGACAAAGCTATCCAAAAGCTATGGGTTGGTACAGATGTCCATTTTCCAGACATCTGCTGGAAGAACAATGCAGCCAAACATAAAATGTCAACCCAGTTCCTAACTTGTGTGGAAGACAACTTTCTATTCCAGTAAATAAGGGATACAACTAGGAGATCATCTATCTTGGGTCTTGTCCTGACCAACAGGGAAGAACTGGTGGAGGGTGTGAAGGTGATAGGTAACTTGAGAAGAAGTGATTACAATTGTATTGAATTCCAGATCCTGAGGCCTGGAAAGCATGAGGTCAGCAAAATTAGGATGCTAGATTTAAAAAGGTAGATTTCATTTGACTCAAGGAACTAATATGCATGGTGTAATGGGAAGACAGAGTGAAGGACAAAAGTGCCCAGAAGAGCTGGGAGCTTCTAGAGGGTGCAGTATTGGGAGCCCAACAAGAAACTGTCCTGACACGATGGAAACACAAAAAAGACGGCAAGAGACCAATGTGGCTACATAAGGAGTTTCTAAAATGTCTTGAATGCAAAAGGAATGCATACAGGCAATGGAAGAATGGTCAAGTCACCAAGGATTCATACCAGAAAATAGCAAGAACCTGCAGGGACAAAATCAGGAAGGCAAAGATAAAGAACAAGCTGTACTGGCAAAAGTGGTTAAGGACAATAAAAAGAGATTCTATAAGTATGATGCCCCAGAAAAGAAGAACCAAAGCAGCTGTGGATCCTTTGTTAACAATCCGGGGGAACTCCTAACTAAAGATACAAAGACGGCAGAGCTACTCAACAACTACTTTGTCTCAGTCTTCAAAAAAATTTAAGCTGCCAGACACCTAACAGGGATTATCTGGATAAGGGGGACAAACTGAGGGAGGAGATAACAAAGAAGACTGTCAGAGAGATTTTGTTGGGTCTGAATGGGAGACAGACTAGGTACCAGGGGACTGGAAAAAGCCTAACTTAATTCTCCTCTTTAAAAAATGCAAGAAAGAGGACCCAGGGAACTACAGACCAGTAAGCCTCACCTCAGTAACCTGGAAGTTACTAAAGCATATCCTAAGGAAGGTCATTTGAAAGCATCTGGAGGAGGACAGTCTGATTGCAAGCAGTTAGCATGGATTTATGAAAAAAAAATCATGTCAAACAAACCTGATATCCTTCTTTGACAAAATAACTACTTGGGTGATGAAAGGAATGATGTGGTTATAGTGTATCTGGACTTCAGCAAGGCTTTCAGATGGGGGGCTGGGGTGGAATGGGCTTCATCTCTCCCCTAAAGGCAAACGTATTTTGTCTTCTAGGTTGGCTGATCCCATACGGCAGGCTTTAAACTAGCTTCGCCGGGGGAAGGGGCCACTCCAAGTAGAGAGGATGCTTCGCCAGCATGCAGGGTGACAAGAGAAAGGGACGCGCAGGTAAGCAACAACATCCTGGGAGTAGGGAGCCACAACAGCCCTGGGAGTAGGGGGGGAGGCGCGTGCACACTCAGGGGGCCTCAAGTGCCTCTACACCAATGCTCGTAGTATGGGGTGTAAGCAGGAGGAACTGTGCCTCCTGATTGTAAGTAAGAATCCAGACTTAATAGGGATCACAGAAACCTGGTGGGACCCTACCCACGACTGGGCAGTGGGCATTCGGGGATGCACCCTATATAGAAGGGACAGGACAGAGAGGAAAGACGGGAGAGTTGCGCTCTATGTCAAAGAACAACTTACATCATCAAGGATTAACTTCGGGTTAGAGGAGGGTCGGGCGGAGACATTGTGGGTCAAACTACAAGGAGGGCATGGCGAAAGGGACCTTACAGTGGGTGTCTACTACAGACCACCCAACCAGGGGAAAGAACTGGACTGGGACTTCTCCGGTCGGCTTATGGAGGCGGTTAGGTCAAAGGATGTCATTGTCCTGGGTGACCTAAACTACCCACACATTTGCTGGGAGGAGCAGACAGCCAGGTCTGACCGCTTGCGTAGTTTCCTGGCTGTTTTAAAGGACCTTTACCTTTTCCAGGAGGTGCACAGCCCCACTAGGTGTAACGCCTTGCTGGATCTGGTCCTGGCCACTGGGGATGACCTGGTGAGGGGACTGCAGGTCCTTTACCACCTAGACAATAGCGATCATCACCTGCTGGAATTCACTATCCAATGCAGGGTGTCAAGGGCTTATAGCCAGACTAAAGCCCTTGACTTCAAAAGGGCCAACTTCAATGAGCTTCGGAGATTAGTGGGGGAGGCACTGAGGGCCCAGAAGGTAGAGGAGATGGGAGTCCATGAGGGATGGTCATACCTTAAGGGGGCGATCCTCCAGGCCCAAAAGGTAACAGTCCCTGAGAGAAGCAAGGGGGGTAAGAGTGCTCAGAAACCCCCTTGGCTCAGCAAGGGCATTCAGGAATG